TCTCGATCTCGGCCAGATCCATCCGGCTAATAATTCGGCAATTATTGGTTCCCGATTCGTCGTCGGTTTCGCTAGGCGGCTGACCCGCATCGCTTTCGCTGAATCTAATTCGGGGCGAACCCTTGTGATGATAGGTCTCGATTTCACCGCTCCGGCCGCTGATTGATCGGTCGACCGCCGCGGCGATGGGAGGAGGGTCATGGCGGCGCCGTTAGGGGCTTCTTGGTCGGCTCCCTGTTGCGATGGCGTCCAAGGCCGTTGCTGAGATAGTCGATGACAAGCAATGCAGTAAAAGCGCCGCCGAGTCGTCCGAGGCGGCGCCTTCTCGGAGGCAGTCCGAGGAGCTAATTGGGGGAGCAGGCAAATCGGGGCCTGCCTCACCGAGAGCAGTTCCCCCAGGTGATGTGGCCACGTCCAGTGGAGTGAAAGAACAAGATAAAGACTGCAGTTCTGTTGACGGCTCTGTGAAACTGGACGAAGACGAAGATGCGGAGAAGAGCTCGCTGCGAGGGAGCGTCAAGGATAGCTCCGTTTCTGCCAAGTACAGCGACGGTGCAAGCAGCCTGACAAAGGCGAGCGGCAGCACCAAGGTCAGCGGCCACGCCGATTTGGTCCAGAGCGGGAAGAGCAGCGTTTACCGGGCCAGCGCTGGCAGCGATGTCAGTGATGATAGCACCTGTAGCAGTATATGCAGCAGCGCTAGCAAGCCTCACAAGTCCAATGATTCAAGGTGGGAGGCGATTCAGGTGATCCGAACCAAAGAAGGTTCGCTAGGATTGAGTCACTTCAGGCTGCTTAAGAGGCTTGGCTGTGGTGACATTGGCAGTGTTTACTTGTCAGAGCTTAGTGGCACGAAATGCTACTTTGCTATGAAGATCATGGACAAGGCGTCTCTAGCTGGCCGCAAAAAGCTTCTGAGAGCCCAGACTGAAAGGGAGATATTGCAGTGCTTGGACCATCCTTTCCTTCCGACTTTGTACACCCACTTTGAGACTGATAAATTCTCATGCTTGGTGATGGAGTTTTGCCCTGGAGGGGACCTGCATACCCTAAGGCAGAAACAGCCTGGGAAGTATTTCCCCGAACAAGCTGCCAAGTAAGAGTCTTCTCTCTCTTTATTTATTTATTTACTTATTGTACTGATAGATATGCAAATGTTATCACACTCATTATCAACCAATCCTTATCCGTTCTTATAAATCATCTAGTTGTCTACTAATACAACTGGGTCAGTACAATAAATTGAAGATCTTTCAACTTTCAAGATGTGGTGACAAATTATATCTTTTATCTTATTGTTCAATTGTTGATTTCAATTTCATGGAATGTATGGTCCTCTTGTATTTTATTAGGTTTAACAGTATTGTGTTTTTTTTGGCCTCTATGGTTAACAACTATATTTTTCTTTAACTAGGGAACTTATCTATTACTGTTAGCAAGCAATGTTGGAAATTTTAATTGCTGCTGTTGCTGGGTTCATTTTGGATTTAGAAGAACATAATTTTCAGAGCGATTTCATATATCTAAAATCTTAGGGATCACAAAATCTGTAGGCACGTATTATTTGTCGTTGGTAGTAGGCTTGTTAGCACTAGAAGTGGCAGTAATGCTCCAAATTATCTGGAGCGCCTCTAATGGACGAGCTTCTGTAAATGCCACTTCTTTTACTTGAGGTACTTAGACTCCTGGGATCTTACCTGTTAAATACAACATTGATTACTGTGTAGTGATTTCTCCTTTATCAGCTCCTATCCCGTGCTTGCATTATCTGAGTAGTCAACCAAACTATGATTAACACTAGGCTTTTGTCTTCTGAACTGGGTATATTTGCTCTCGAACACTACAAGTTGTAATGCTAAAATAAATGCTTTGTAGCTACCTCTATCATTGATTTGGAATCCCTAATCTATATAAATAATCCGACCACACATCCATGTCCAATACTCCCTACGTTCCTATGAGTTGGGCGTAAATTTCTCAGCGCCCACCCCAAGGAGAGCCCACAGTCAAAATTAGCTTCCCAACTTACCCCTGGAAAATTACTCTCTTGTGGGTTCGGGAACGATTCTTTGGACGCGAGGAGCGAGGTAATAGTGGAGCCAATCTTGAAAGGAGCTGTAACTGCATGCAATTAATGTAGCCGTGATCTAAGTGATCCGTTCAGCAAAAGTAGTGATTAAACGAGGGTATTATAGGCTAGGAATTTTTTGGCAAAAAGTATGTATGCCTTGTTCTCAGGAACTGAGGGAGTATGTGGTAACATAGGCCTTGAGGTACATATAATGTGATAAGGTAATGTGATATAGATTTACTTTTTTTATGGCAATGTACTTGAAGTCTTAAGTGAAACGTTCTTCAGTTGGGTGCGTTGTTCATGAGAGACTAGTGTTTTCTGTACTGTGGAATATACTTTTTGTTTCTTTTATCAGTCTATTTTAATGAAGCTTGCTTTGGAGTGGACATAACTGCATATTTTAAATGGTTAAGCCGTATCAACTGTCTGAATAAAGGCATATGAAAAAAATACCTTCAGCATGTCTGTAACATTTTTATTTTTCTATACAGTATTTTATATTGTTTGTGTTCATTTTTCCTACTGTTTGGGGAGTTACTTTCTGTACCCACATAAAATGTTGCAGCGTAGTAATACCCATTGTGTTTTGTACGTTCTTCACTTATGTATATGTGTATCTGATGCCTAATTCAGTTACACTATTCATCTTTCAAGGTACTAACTAGGGTCTAGGGCAACATTGCATGCTCAATTACAAATCTTAATTGTATTTTAGGATTTATGCAAAGTTACAATCTGTCCTTCTGCCCTATTGACATCATGCTTTCTTGTTGTTGTTCCTTATTATGTCTGAGATGTACTCCCTCTGTCCCATAATGTAAGACGTTTTTCGACTCTAATGTAGTGTCAAAAAACGTCTTACATTATGGGACGGAGGGAGTACTATGTAGTGTACTTTCAACACTTTTTGAACTACAACTGCACATGTACTCATGTCTTCTGCGAGTTTCCCTTTCCCCCACTTCTGTATGCAGCGGTTTTTATTAATATTGTTTGTGGTTAGTGTTGAGTTTCTTATGATTAATGCATTTCCTCTCTATTTTTCACTATTATCTGCTGTTAGACAGATGGATGGTTTAAAAGGAACTTGTTTCTCTTTCTTGAAATGACTCTTTTGATAGTTTATCTCCTAATTTTTCTTGATATAGCTGGATTTATTTTATCCGATCATTTGTTTACGAAAACAGTTATGTCGCATTTCGTGCTATTCTTGATACTTAACATATGTTGCCTTGTTTTCATGCCGGATTAACTACTTCCAGTAGGTTAGGGACAGTGTGGCTTCTAGGGATAGGAGAGATTAAGACCGGGATGATTCATTGTAGTGCTCTTGATTGGTTGATCTATTCCTCATGGGCAAGTCCATTAGATATAGGGAGAAGCTGATCAAAGATCCCAAAAAATACAAACAATATGGAACTAACCAACCGAATCGCTAATTGAAAGGTGGCAACTAAAGTAGAGATAAAAGGCATATCTCTAGCTAAGGGTGCAAGCGGCGCGGGCTGCCCGCCAATCCCGCGACGCAGCCCCGCTAAACACATCATAAGTGGGCTCCCGCGGCTGTACGCAAAAGTCAAGCGGGTTTATGCGTATGTCCTGGCGGTGCCTGCAATTTGCCCGTGTCCATGTATATTTATACGCATGCGTCATTATTCCCGTGACCGCAGTCGAGCTGGCTATTCCCGTTGAACGTTGGCCTTGACCTGAAGGACCTCCTCGTGCAATACGTGCAGTCGGAAGATAGAAATATCAGCTCGTATCAGTCGGTGAGAAACTTTGATACTACATGCATATCAGTGCGCACACATGCGTACGTGCGTATAGATGGCGGGCTGGCGGCGCCACGGCGGCCTGCCTATCCCGCATACGACGACCCGTGTCTCCCGTGTGGGCGCTCGCGGGTTAGAGCGCGGGATGCGGGCTGCCCGCAACCCGTCCCACTTGCACCCTGATCTCTAGCTCAACCTTGTGCCTATGGTACATTTCCTGGCGCACAGGCTTGGCGCGCTACATGTTCAGCAATTACATAACATTCTTTATCATGTGATGGTTTTAGGTACTAACAAACAGTGTTAAGTGTACAAACTCATGTTTATCTTTAAAATATTTGTACAGGTTTTATGTAGCAGAGGTGCTTCTTGCTCTAGAATACCTGCACATGCTCGGTATCATATATCGGGACCTCAAGCCAGAGAATGTTCTTGTGAGAGAAGATGGCCACATCATGCTGTCAGATTTTGATTTGTCCCTTCGTTGTGATGTGAGCCCTACACTTCTTAAATCTTCCAACCCTGGTGTAGATCCTAACCAAAAGGGCAATCAAGCTTATTGTGTACAACCGGTGTGCATTGAGCCAGCCTGTATCCAGCCTGCTTGCGTTACGACAACCACATGCTTCTCTCCTCGCTTTTTCTCCTCCAAGTCCAAGAGGGAGAAGAAGGAAAAGAAGGCAAAGGCAGACATGGCAACCCAGGTCAGACCGCTCCCTGAGCTTGTTGCAGAGCCCACAGATGCAAGGTCTATGTCATTCGTTGGCACTCATGAATACTTGGCACCTGAGATCATAAAGGGTGAGGGGCATGGGAGTGCTGTGGACTGGTGGACTTTTGGCATATTCTTGTATGAACTTCTTTTTGGCAAGACTCCATTCAAAGGTTCAGGGAACAGGGCAACGCTATTCAATGTTGTTGGCCAGCCCCTCAGGTTCCCAGAATCACCTGTTGTGGGTTTTGCTGCAAGGGATCTCATAAGGGGGTTGCTGATCAAGGAGCCACAGCATCGATTGGCGTACAAACGTGGAGCCACAGAAATAAAGCAGCACCCATTCTTTGAAGGTGTTAACTGGGCATTGATAAGGTGCGCTACTCCTCCAGATATCCCCAAGCCAGTTGAAATCCCTCGGCCAGGAGCCTCGACAAGTCAGAAGGCAACACCGTCAGCCGAGAAAGGTCCAGACAATTATCTTGAATTTGATTTCTTTTAGTGGATTCTTCCAAGACCATTTCATGTGCAAGCTGTAAAGTTCTTTTTTCCTAGACATTTTCTGCATTCTAATAACTTGATATGTAGATGGCATATGTTCCTAGTGTTGTTGGTAAGCTCCGTTCGCAGTTCATTTCACCTCCATTGATCACATTGGATGGGAGCCTCTATCAGGAGTAAGCTGTAATCCCTCATCAATTATTGAGAAGTAGGGTCTCTTGAATAACAAATAAATGTTTCCGTTCTGTCTGCAACCGCTGTTTTGAAAGCTAAATTTGGTGGTGTACCGGAAGCTGATCACACCTTTGATGTGGTAAATAAATGTCAGCTGGAGCAGCTGCATTTATGCCCTTCAAATCGGTATGTATTTCTTCAGGTTGCCGTCCCTGAGTTCAGTAATACCTATAACTGTATGATATGAATTGTGCCAGGCAAGGAACTCGTCCTGCCGTCTGAAAAACAGGGGGAAACCTAAGATGTTACAATGCTAATGCTCAGTAGAGGACCAATCTTCAGACTGGGTGGTTCAGTAGAGGACCAGCATGCCTGCTATGCATAAATGTTGTTTATGCTGCATTGCTATGAGTTGCTGCTTGCTGAATTGTTGCCACTGATGATACTTTAGTGGATTTGCCTCTGCATCACGGGAAAGATAGTTTCCGAGTTGGCACGTGAATTACAGTTCTGAGATGTGCCTTTTTTTGTGTGTGCACTAGTTCTGACTTTTCTTCGCCAACCACTCACTAATCAGCAATAAAATAACAGTGTTCAATGGCTTGTGAGATCACCCCCCTGTTGAACTTTGTTCACATTCGGATCATGTCTTGGTTTCTATAGAACCGCCTTACAATTTGCCCCCTTTCACCTGCATTCTATGTATTTGTTCATATGAATAATGCTGTCATCCTGCTTTCTAGAACAGGCTTTTGTGCGCTCTTAACCAATCTAGATTTTGGTACCGTATTCGATCTACTTATCCCAAAGTACTAGGGTAGTAGGGTTCCCCCCACACAGGGCCGTTTTCAGAAATTTGGGGCCCCGGTGCGAAAAGTAAAATGAGGCCCTAACATTTGAAAGAAATCATATAATATAACTCAAGATAAGCACTTAATTATACAATTTAAACTTATGTTATTTAGTACAATTTTTGAAAAATTCTCAAGTAGCAATGCAAATTTTCACAACTGTTTCTTCTTACGCTTTAAGGCACAAAATCATACTTTCTTCTAGAACTAGAAGGCATGATTGTTTCTGTTTACGAACAAAAAAAATAAAGCATACTGATGAACGCACATGAATTATAGGCTTGTGACTTGAATAATAAGAATCAGATAGAACCTTGATTTTGGACATGGACCACGGGACGAGCAACCGTTGAAAATCTTGAATCTACTATGACAATTTCTGCACTTCAACAACTAGACAAAAATTGTTCCAAAACATATTTAGTGTAATCTTAATAAAACTTTGCAGTTTGTATCAAAATTAGATGAAAAGAACAGGAGGAGCTTAGGGCACTGCTTGGTCTTCTGTTCGGCGGCACCGCATCAGTGTCGGCCGGCGCGGCGGCGGCCGACGCTGGCAAGTCCAGTGCAGTTTTGCTTCCGCCCATCTGCTGGCTGCAAAGCGATCGCCGTCGAGCCGCTGAAGCAAAAAGATCGATCGCAGGGATGAGATGGAAAGCGAAGCCATTACGGAATAGGGAACAGCGGAAGTCACGGAACGTACGTACACGTACTGCGCTGGCTGCCGTTTCGTTTATGATATGATCGCTCAGATCGATCCACGCAGGGTATGGCTTGAGGCCTCGAGCGGACCAGGCCCAAGAAGATGAAAATGAGTGCTTCAGCAGCCTTCAGGTGACACACAGAGGCAACGTTTGGGGGCCCCTTGATTTTTGGGGCCCTGCCCTGCCCACACACATGGGTTAGGCCCCAAAGTACTAGGGTTCTCCACACTCATGGGTTATGTTCGACGTTTACATTGTTATTTATCCTTGAATAGCTTTTATACACATTGCATCAAAATGACTCCGACATGGGCTTTCTGTTTATTGTCTTTGGTGGGCATGTACAATGGTTGATAAGACACTTCTATCTTAATCCAGCCACGTAATCTAGAGATGACAGAAAAATATGATGTACAATGGATTCTGTCTTATTCTTATCTCTAGTAACAAGTTATTTCTAAAAAAGTGGCCAGCTAAGAGCATCTTCAGCCGTTGCCCCCCCCCCCCCAGGAGGCATAAAAATCGCCGCCTGGGGGCGAGCCGGCGGTATAATCAGCGCTGGGGTGGTTGGGCACCCAACCGCCGCCCCCAGGCGCCAATATCGGCCCATTTTTGGTGTAAATGTGGCCGCCTTTTGGCAAAAAATGGCCTGATATCGGCACGAATCGGCCCATATTCGATGTGGTTCGGCGTGAATTCTCAACGTAAGTAATTTTTTATCACATAGTTTCTCATAGAAAATCAATAGAAATCAAATAGTTCAATACAGATTATATAGTTCAACAAATAAAAACTCATATTTCATCACACGTCGAGCTAGGCATCGCCCTTGAGCCTCCATAGATGCTCCACCAGATCCTACTCCAGTTGTTGATGCACCTGTGGGTCTCGGATCTCCTGACGCATATTGAGGTAGGCAGTCCAGGTTGCCGGTAGCTGGTGATCAACTTCGGCAGGAGGACCCAGCCTGTAGTATGGTTCAGTGTTAAACACTAGCTCTTCCTGTTCGCTCTCAATGATCATATTGTGCAAGATGAAACAACAAGTTATGATCTCTCACATTTGATCTTTCGACCAGGTCTGAGCAGGGTACCGGACAAGAACAAATCGAGATTGGAACTGTGACGCCCCCGATTCAATCGTACACTAATCATACATGCAAACGTGTACGATCAAGATCAAGGACTCACGGGAAGATATCACAACACAACTCTACAAATAAAAAAAGTCATACAAACATCATATTACAAGCCAGGGGTCTCGAGGGCTCGAATACAAGAGCTCGATCATAGACGAGTCAGCGGAAGCAACAATATTTGAGTACAGACATAAGTTAAACAAGTTTGCTTTAAGAAGGCTAGCACAAACTGGGATACAGATCGAAAGAGGCGCATGCCTCCTGCCTGGGATCCTCCTAAACTACTCCTGGTCGTCGTCAGCGGGCTGCACGTAGTAGTAGGCACCTCCCGAGTAGTAGTAGTCGTCATCAACGGTGGCGTCTGGCTCCTGGACTCCAACGCCTGGTCGCAGCAATTAGGTATAGAAAGGGAGAAAGGAGGGAGCAAAGCAACCGTGAGTACTCATCCAAAGTACTCGCAAGCAAGGAGCTACACTACATATGTATGCATTGGTATCAACTGGAATAAGGCTATCATATGTGGACTGAACTGCAGAATGCCGGAATAAGAGGGGGATAGCTAGTCCTTTCAAATACTACACTTCTCGTAACCTCCATCTTGCAGCGGGAGAAGAGAGTAGATGGTAAGTTCACCAAGTAACATCGCATAGTATAATCCTAACCGATGATCCTCCCCTCGTCGCCCTGTGAGAGAGCGATCACCGGTTGTATCTGGCACTTGGAAGGGTGTGTTTTATTAAGTATCCGGTTCTAGTTGTCATAAGGTCAAGGTACAACTCCGGGTCGTCCTTTTACCGAAGGACACAACTATTCGAATAGATCAACTTCCCTGCAGGGGTGCACCATATAACCCAACACGCTCGATCCCATTTGGCCGGACACACTTTCCTGGGTCATGCCCGACCTCGGAAGATCAACACGTCGCAGCCCTACCTAGGCACAACAGAGAGGTCAGCACGCCGGTCTAAATCCTATGGCGCAGGGGTCTGGGCCCATCGCCCATTGCACACCTGCACGTTGCATACGCGGCCGGAGAGCAGACCTAGCAACCTCCATTACAAAGGAAGTTACGTTACGCGGTCCAACCCTGCGCGCGCCGCTCAGTCGCTGACGTCACGAAGCTTCGGCTGATACCACGATGTCGAGTGCCCATAACTGTCCCCGCGTAGATGGTTAGTGCGTATAGGCCAGTAGACAGACTCAGAGCAAATACCAAGATCTCGTTAAGCGTGTTATTCTGAAATAACCACGGACGCCGACCAGGGCCAGGCCCACCTCTCTCCTAGGTGGTCTCAACCTGCCCTGTCGCTCCGCCACAAAGTAATAGTCGGGGGCCTGCGGGAAATCAGGCCCACCTCTACCGGGATGGAGCCACCTGCCCCTTCAGCCCCCAACATCGGAATCACTCGCGGGTACTCCTACGAGCCGACCCGACTTTAATCACCACAAGTATAATATATTATGTATAAGTATATACCCGTGACCACCTCCCAAGTGATCACGGCCTGATAGTATAGCATGGCAGACAGACAAGAATGTAGGGCCACCGATGGTAAACTAGCATCCTATACTAAGCATTAGGATTGCAGGTAAAGGTAACAACAGTAGTAGCAAGGACAGGCTATGCATCAGGATAGGATTAACTGGAAGCAGTAACATGCTACACTACTCTAATGCAAGCAGTATAGAGAGTAGAGTAGGCGATATCTGGTGATCAAGGGGGGGGGGGGCTTGCCTGGTTGCTCTGGCAAGAGAGAGGGGTCGTCAACACCGTAATCGTACTGGGTAGCAGCGGCGTCGGTCTCGGTGTCTAGCGAGAGAAGAGGGGGAAGAAACAATAAATATAATGCAAACAAATGCATGACGATGCATGACATGACAAAGCGTGATGCTAGGTGTGCCCTAACGCGGTACGAGGTGGTACCGGTGAAGGGGGAAAACATCCGGAAAGTATTCCCGGTGTTTTGCGTTTTCGGACAAATGAACCGAAGGGGGAAGTTGCGTGTTTGCTATGCTAGGGATGCGTGGCGGATGAACCGGCTGCGTATCCGGGTTCGTCTCGTCGTTCTGAGCAACTTTCATGTACAAAGTTTTTCCATCTGAGCTATGGTTTATTTTATATTAATTTTAAAAG